AGTTAATGACGCGCCTTATCAACACATTGTGTTGGAGTTCACTGCTTGTTTTTTATTTGATCATTCACCTTCTGTACACATTAATTAGATTATTTACAATATGATTAATACTAGACCTATGACTAAGACCTTACTAAGACCTAAATCTAAGACTATTATGATACAAAGTTGTCCCCAGGATAGTTAGTTAGTTAGTTATCATAATTTTAAGACATTCAGCGACTCAGGCTATTAACGTCTTTACAGATAATTTTGAAAATGGGGGCTATGCGGCTATGGGGAGATATATGTACAAAATGACAATGTATATACATAGTTGTACAATAAAATGAAAAGTTATACTTTGTGAAATAATCTTGTCTTTTATTACGATACCAGAAATAAAATTGATATTCCTTCAATTTAGCTCACAATGTAACAAAACGAACGATAGTCAAAACTACTTACATGCGCCTCGCTGACGCTATATGGTCTGCTCTAACGTAAGTGCTTTCATTTAAACGAGTCAAGGCAATTAAAAGCATTGACAGTTTTTTCTCAATTATGAAATTCTCAGGGAAGTTTGACATGGTTTGACATGTTTGACATGACATTTTGGCGGTGCAAAAAAAAAAAAAAAAAAAAAAAAAAAAAAAAAAAAAAAAAAAAAAAAAAAAATGCAATTATAAACTGATCACCTAAACAAGTATTATCTAAACTCCCCAAAAACTGTGATTTCAAGACAAAAATTACCTTTGTAAATTCATTTTTTTTGCATGATTTCAGTTATTATTTGCAAAAAATGTTAGTTGCACACTCCTGATAACATCGCAACGCTGTTGGTTCCTTTTTGTAAAATGTGATCAAATTATCTTACTGACTCCTGAAAATATGCGTGGGGATGTAACTAGGTAAAATAAATGCTTGTACTCTGAGTTATGATACATATATCTTTACATGCCTATCGCGGAGGACTGAAAGCAAATTTCAAATGTATAAACATACACGATGATTCCCACGATTATATCACATGTCATGATGAAAAATAAATAAAGCTAACTAATGTTACTCTTAGTGCTTTCCGATGTGTATCTGGGGAATTTGAAGGCGAAATTTAGGTTGGAAAGCGTCGCACATCAATATAAATCATAAAGACTTTGTGTTACCACTCTTTGGAATGGGCCGTTCACTTTGTAGGCATATTTTGTGACTCCGCAGATACCTTTTTTGAGGATGAAATGACCCTGTAAAACAGCAGAAAAAACATTAATTTCGTCGAGGTTGATAGATGCGTTACGCAGCAGAGTCAACGTTTAACCGAGGGCACGGCAGACCATGCAAACGACAGAAATACACTGCCGTGCTAAGGAACAAAGCCGTATGAACATTCGAGAGTTGCCAAATTTCCTTCGATAAAATGCTTTTTAATGAGGAACGTTTTGAAGATTTTTCCTTGAAATTTTCAGGAAATTTCGGTGCCATTGGGAACGAAATTATCTGAAAAATTGGAAGGAAAATATTCACAAGTCCATCAGGAAATTCATGTTTTATCAAAGGAAATTTGGCAACGCCTGAGGGTTCATACGGCATTTTTCCTTAGCACGGCAGTGTAGCAGAGGAACGTACGATCTAGGAGAGAGGGATCTTAGTTTTTGCGGCGTTTTTCAAAAAATGATTTTTTCGGGTAGGTTGTTGAAAATCGACACTAACATTAAGATTTTTGACGGGTGACGCTCTAGAGTGCTCCTACACTGTTGAAATCGAGGGGCGAAATTCGGCACCAGAATCAATATCGCGCAAAAATGTTCCAGGTAATATGAATGCGAAGTGAAATTACGTCGCACAGTGGAGCGAGTCAATAGGAGAAGTCGGACACAATTTGGAAACTTTAAACTCTTTCAACTCCATTGGAGATGTTGCATGTGTGAGGAATTTGCGATTTGACTGTTGATTCTTATGTAAAAGTCCGCGAGAAACACGATGTGGCTACTGGTTTTCTCTGAAATCAACTCCCAAGCTCAAAAAAAGCTCTCAAGTTGAGGCCAAAATGGAGGGGATATCCCACCCTACCCTGAGAGTCCACCTCTACATCAAGACAAATTCTCCATGCAAAGATAAGGAGCAAATACATTAGCAGTGATGCCGTGTTTTCAGTTTTAGAGTCCCCAAATGAAGTGGCAACCCCGTTAATGTATTTGCTCCCTATCTTTGCATGGAGAGTTTGTATTGATGTAGAGGTGGACTCTCAGGGTAGGGTGGGATATGCCCTCCATTTTGGCCTCAACTTGAGAGCTGTTTTTGAGCTTTGAAGATGATTTCAGAGAAAACCAGTGGCACCATCATGTTTCTCGCGAACTTTTACGTATAAGAATCAACAGTCAAATCGCAAATTCCTCACACATGCAACATCTCCTTTATACAAATTCTTGAGGTTTGAAAAGTGGTTTCATTGGTTTCCTCGTGAAATTTTCTTCTAGAACCACTCTCAATAATTTAAAATGTGACAAAATAAACGTCAAAATTTGCAGTTTTAGTAAAAATTTTCATGTCCGACCACTCTAAGTGACTCGATCCACTGTGCGGCGTTAACCGGACGAAGGGACGTAACTCCACTCCAAGGTTGCATTGAATTTTTTACACAAATGTAGCCGTTACTGGAAAAAAGTGGATTGGATCTAGAGCCCAGACTCTTAAAAACATTGACAAGGAAAAATAGTCTTAATTCAATCGGACTTTTTGCTTGAATCAAAATCAAAAGAAAGAGTCCGCCTAAATCAAGAGGCTTGGCTCTTCGATTCAAGGAGAAATCGGATTGAATCAAAAGTATTTTTTCTTGTCGATCTTATTAAGAGTCTGGACTCTCGATCCAATGTATTTTTTTCCAATGAACTGTTCGTCCTCTGTGGATGTCCGTGTTGCCTGCTCGAAAAATTGAAGGCGCCTTGACTTTTCAAATATACAAACATCTAAATGCAACTATTCGTGCTTATAGAATGATTATTTAGTCCAGTATTTATTCTTGTCGATCTTATTAAGAATCTGGACTCTAGGTCCAATCGAATTTTTTTACAGTATGCAGTTTTGTCCAAAATTTTCCCGATTTTTGCATAAGATCAGATGAAAAATCAATGAAATTTTCAGTTCGATACGCCCAATTTTCTACAGATAAAATTGCATTTTGCGAGGGGAAATGTGGATTCCACTAGAGTCCTATATAGGGAGAGTAAAGACATGTCGAAAATTTTGAGGTTAGATGATGGAGCTCTCAGATCCCAAAAGGGTAGGCAATCTATGTATTAAAATTATCCAGAGTGATTTATGATCACAATTGTTGGGAACTGTCGTTGGTAAAGCACGTATTTGACTTTTGGTTTTTGCATAAACTTACTCATTTTTGCGGAAGAATGCTTACTTGTGAATTTTCTTGTCCATTTTCTTTTGATATTGGAGTCTAAAGATTGACAGTGACATTTTTCGTTTTCGAAGGTCACCCTACCCTTTTGGGCCCTAAGAGCTACATATTTCGAGCTGTCCATACTCTCCCTAAATAGGTACTCTAGATTCCACTCCGCAATGGTGTAAGTCATTCCGTAAAGAGAATAGATTTCGCTCCGTCATCGAGGTTTTTGGGCGCTATATACAGACTCCGGCACAGAATTCCACCCTCAAATTATTAACAGTGTACGAAAACAAGTTTAGAGCATTTTAGTTCGCATTTTTATACGAATCGAAAAGGGCCTTAAGTCATGGTGCCCGGATCTTAAAATTGTTACTAGGGCCCCAGGTGGCAAGCGGCAGGCCTGCATTTATTAATATAGGCACTCAGCTCTTACAACCGGAGTCATATCAGGAGATAACGGTTCGTGAACACGGAGTTTTGGTTAATCAACCTGGAATTCACTACCGACACTAGTCAATTACCTGCAAACCCCATTCGGAGCCCCAACTGTTCCGGAGAACCCAAGCATCTGAAAAAAAAATTAAGAGGTTATGAAATTCTCTTTTTTTTATGAAATACATAAGCGAAATGCTAAAAAAAAAACAAAAAACAAAAAACAAAAAAAAGGGAGCGTATTCATTGTGGTGAAAAATCGATTCACGGTGATTGATCCATTATAATTATATTCGATGACAAAAGAGTTCATATTTTCTTTCGAATCGATTTGAAAATATTTAGATCAACCCTGAAGGGAAGGGAGGAATCCTTTTTGGCGGATTTTCTTGTTCTTTAAATTATACACACAACTTAAGTTGGATATTTTAACTTATGAGGGATGAAATTAAAAAAATATGTCTCTCAGCTTTCGGTGTTGACAAGCTCCTTGCTAAAAGTTTTCTTAAGGAAGGTAGGACCCTCATATCGATGACCAAATTGCGGAACCGCGTATTTTTATTGCAATTTCTCAAAATGTCCGCTTCTACATCATCCATCGACATTCATTGCTGTCATTCATTCGAAACAAAATAAGCCAATTGCACGAGAATTGCACCATTACAGTTTTGCCTCCCTTTCCACTTAGAAAGACATGATATTGTACCGATGAAGTAGAAAAATTAAGGAAGTAATCAAGAAATTACTTCGACCAATTTTCCTAAAATAAGAAGAAAAAAAAATTATAACAGGAAGTCTGCAACGTCGCAAACAGAGAAACGTGGTTTCGCACCTTGGCAATCGATATATCATTGTTTAAAAGGAAACTCGGTGAATAGTTCCTGCCTGTTCATCAGTACCTGCTCCGAAAATTGAATGCGGAAATTTCCAAAAAAAAAAATTGTTTCAGAAAAAAGACGATATACATCATCATTATATCGAATCACGTCGTCTTTTACTAGTTTCGCAGTCGAATTTCGAATTCTCAGCGTGCATTTCTGATAAATAGTTTCTTTCAGATATACATTCAACTCACAAAATGCTCATCTTTGTAACTCCAAAACGAATATCCTTCAAACTGGCTCTATATTTTGTCGTCTGTTTGTGAAATATGAATCAATGACCGTCCCATGTAATATTCAAAAACATTTTCCTTTTTTATCTCCCCCAGAGACAAAAGACCCTCCACTGGCCTCCTAGCGACAGGTGGAAGATTTTACTTTCGAGGATTCAACAATTCCTTATGGACAATTATTAGGGAGCAACAGTCATCACCTCAATTTCGGCTGTTGACCTACCTACATGGTCAATGATGAGCTTTGGGTGACGTCATGAGCCAAACAAGTTTCGCAAACTTCGGCCATTTTCGACTTGTTTGCAAAACGAAACTGCCAACACGTTGTTAAACATCAACCATGTAGGTAAGTCAACAGTAGAATGCTGAAGTCCCGAAAGTAAAAGCTTCCACAATGGCCAAGATACTAGTGGAGGGTCTCTTGTCTCTGATCTCCCCTCACAAATTTTCGCTACCGGTAAATTCATAGAAATGAAGGAAAAGATAAATCGTCAATCGATTAAGTTTGAATTTCCTACAAATCACTGACAAGATCTTAAATGTATGAAGGGTACCTGTGTAGTGGCCAACGATTACAACACCGTGATTTCCGTGAGCTTTGTCGTTAGAGCAACCGGTTAAGACATCGATCACCCCGGACACATAGTACTGAAACAAAGGAGATGTCAAATACAATCAGAATGGTATTCATAAAGGCACGAATCAATTATCTTTAAAGTAATTCTCAGGTTCAGAGTCGAGGAGAATTGATCCTTCATCCTTTCTCCATGTTCACGGAAAAAAGGAGGCAGCCTATGTGGATATCGAGTTTTTTTTTTTTTTTTTTTTTTTTTTTTTTTTTTTTTGTAAAAAAAACTTGTAAACTCCTGAAGTAAATTTAGTTGTTATTGATTGATTAGTTAATAAAGTTAATTTGATTTACTTTACCTGTAAAATTGTATGAATTATATTTGTTTGCATTTTGATTTTCTTAAAATTTATGGAAAATCTCGAGAAATATTCGTCAGAAATCGGTTAGTGGGGAACATTCTTCAGTTGGCGATGGATTGCAGCTCAATTTTAGCTGAATTTTAAAGTTTAGACCGGCCAGTATACGGACTGAGCAACGAGTATGGCCAGTTCACACACAATGAGATGTAAGACGCACAAATTGAAGATCTCTATGTACCTTTGGGCGAGATTGACCTGGAGACTTTAACGCTCGGGCAGAAAGATGGACGCATGAATTCTCATAAGTTTACTGCGACGTAGATCCAATATTTCGGCCATTTTATTTATCTGCGCACAAATGTTGGATCTTCGTGTGTTTTCTTAATGGGTTCTTTGATGATATGAGAATTTCTCAGGTTACTATCCCAAATGTTGTGGTACTACCAAAATTGATTTGAAATGCTCATATCCTCCAAAAAATTGCAATAGTACTACAATGCTGCCGTGTAACGCAAAAACGCCATAATTTTAATTTTTTTGGAAACAACGTACCATAGCAGAAAAAGTTGTGTACCTTAGGAAAATGTTTTTGCAGAATTCTTTCGCAAATACTATCAAGAACTTCACCTAAAAATTTGAGGTGGATGGGTAAAACAGTTTTTATTTTATTGAGTGTTAAGTTCAAAAAAACGCGGTAAAATCTTGATGGATTTACGGCGTTTTTGCTTAGCACGACAGAATGGGTCACAAAACCACGAACGAATTTTGGCTACTGTCTACTATATATTATGTACTATATACTGTATACTGTATACTATATACTTTATACTATATACTATATACTATATACTATAGGTATACTATATACTATATAGTCTCAGAAGGTGATCAATCCAACATCTCCAACTGTCTCGCCTAGCCGGTGACAAAGAGAAATCCTTCGGGTTCGGTTAATAATTCCGTAATGGATTTTGAAAATTTCTGAAGTTCTCAACGTAACATTTGGGTAGTATGCATGTGAAAAATTTACCCGCTTGGCTGCTTATCTTGTATGCATCAAACCCATTGAATTCTCGAAATCAATTGATTTCTTGTAAAATTTACTTGAAAAAGGGCGTATATCTGCTTAAAAAAAAAAAAAAGATTGGTGGGAGGGAAGGAAAGTGCTCATTAGTTGAGGATCGTATATGGCTTTTCCCTTTCCACAAAAGGAATTATGTCCACTTTTAATTTGTTTCCTATCCATCTTCCCAGAGCACACCCCATGTTTCCTACCCGCCTCTACTTCCTTTTAGCAGAAATATGCCCGAATAAGTTTCGTTGACATCACTATAAATCCGAATATTTTACGCTGAGAAAAAAATTTATCACGCAATCTCAACCATACTTCTAACTGATTTTGGCGCCAGCCATAACAACAGTTGCACTAGCTAGAAGTGTAATGGTACCAGCCAGCGGTGTAGTTAATCCAACCACAATTATGCTGACTGTGAGGGCACCAACTAGAGGTATGGGTGATCCAACCATACTCACGGAAAAAAATTACATGTTGATTTAGCATTTATACTGTTAAAAAGATGTCCGACAAGTTTCAAATGCTGATTCTACAATACAAAAATGCTAACATAACATTTTAGTTTGTACGTTTTGCAGCGGGCGTGGTTACGTTAGCATTTGTTAAAATGTAAAATCAGCATTTGAAACTTGTCAGACATCTTTTTAACAGCACCTATAATTGCTAAATAAACATTTGATTTCTTTCCGTGTACTTTCAGCGGACTTAACCATACATCTGGCTTGTGCAACTACTCTAATATCTCGAGCCAAAATCAGCTAGGAGTATAGTTGGGATGGTGATACTTTTTCCCCGTGTCAAATAAGCTTTCTTAGTATCCCTCATTTACCGGAAGCTTCATTTCTATTGGCGGAAATAAAGGATGAGTGTCTTACGTGCAGCTCACTGCCTACAGGGACGTGCATATTGCTGGGAATTGGACTCCAGTACAAATCCCTTTCGGCCTGTTCTTGACTTAGGATCTCCTCGAAACCCCCAATAGATATGTAACGGGCCACAGAAGTGTCACAAAGTTGGGTCATGGCCATGTATGGATAGTTTTCAGCCTTCGAAACGCCGGCTCTCACCAAGTGTTCCAAAGCTTTATCTAGGTAGCCCATTTCACATCCGTCGCAAGCTTGAACACAGTCTACCAAATCTGTCCAAATTTGAAGGGTTTGAGTTAATGCGCACGTTAAGAAAGCTAGTGGTGCTTCAATTCAATACCCGAGGAACTTGAGAGATAAATTGGATCGTGTTTAGCAGAAAGGAACTGGCACGTGCACCGTAGTACCGCAACGATACCCTTCTTTCTTTTTCTTAAAATTCTAACATTTCTAAACTCTTTTCATTTCACTTTCAATCTAGTCATTAGCTACGTTTATGCGAGGCTCGAAACCGGGGTTTCATGAAACCCGAGTTTGTAATGCAAGTTTCCTCCGTCGGGTTTATGGGGGCGCTGTAACCCGACTTTCGCGGGAAATCAAACTTTCCGATTTTGGCGCTGTTTAT